TGTATCCCTATACAGTAATACCGCGACTTACGCTACCCGGAGTTACGCGATTTTCAAATCTCGTCGATTCGTTTTTTGTTTGAGCACCACGCAACTCTCGATTACTCACTCCCCCCACACTGTTGTTCGGCTAACATGTTTGGACGTGTCGCGCGGAATCGACACATAGCTACAATTTATTTTGTGTTATTTATTTCTGTGTTTTTTATATCTACGGAGACTCGAGAGACTCTATGCGGTGATTTCTTGCAACCCTGAACGAATCAAATGACGAGATAAGATTAACGAGAACATTTATTAGCTTACATACATCCGACTTGGATTTTACACAAATTGTGAAATTATACCCTGACTTACGCGCATTTGACTTACGCGGTTATCGCTCGGTCCCACCTATCGCGTAAGTTCGGGGTATTACTGTATTTCACTTTTCTGCCAAAACTACACATCGCACATGAATGGTGTTTGTATGTGGTAGTAGTCCCGAGTCTCAATTCGTGCACCAGGGTGGTTGCATTTCGATTGCTATAAGGATGCGGGAGATATGGGCTTGAAAGTGGTTGAAAATGGTTCTCTATTTTGAATTTTATGTTCAAATTTGTTCGAATTTAATTCGAACATAAAATTTGAATATTGGTTTGATTATAGAATGATTGTAAATGTTCCAAAAATGTTGAAAATAGTTTGTTTGACTGGATGTGAACAGGAGACGTTCAGAAATAGAATCAGGACCAGGTCTCTAATTAATGTGGAAACGGGGGGCCTAATTCTTGCATTCTGTGAAAACGGGTAAGATTGGCTATAATGTAATTAGCTTAATCTCCACTATCGTTACTTTTTAAAAACCCAGCGAAGCGGGTCCTTGCAGCTAGTAATAAATGAAAATTAATGATAAATAAAAGACCAATCTTCTATAAACATCTCTTCAAAGTTTTTAAATATTCAATCTGCCAGCATTTAAATATTTAATACACAATAGTGCATTGCAGGTCAATCACGGTCATTTGAAATGCCAAAATGTCAGCTGTCAATACCTGTCTCAAGTGTATGTGAGGCCATGTCCAGGTCTGTATGATCCATAGTGTGAAAAAACTGTGATCCAAGCTTTTTGCACAGCTTAAGCGAATTTGCAGATTACTGGCCTGCAGCTTAATGGCCCTACACTGTATTAACTTTAGCTAATTACATAGTAATACAGGTATATCTCGCCTTACGTCGGTAATTGGTTCCAGGAGAACGACTTAAGTCGAATTTACTTGTCTCTGAATCTACTTGCCACTAGGCTAAACCATAAATTACCAATTCCCGTTCTGTATTTTATTTATTAATGCATTTTTAATAATACAGTTTAACCCGATTATAACGACATTGGATGTAACGACAACCCTAATATAACGTCAAATTTTTATCGGTCCCACGATTTTACTATACTAGATAATGTTAAAAAACCCACTTGTAACGACATAAAACCCTGTTTTAACGTCATATTTGAAGCACTCTCAAATTTACAAAATTAAATTACAAATTTTATTTATCAAAGAAAATACTACGTGTTCAGTCCTAGGGTCAGAGTCCGCTTCCTAGAAGGATTGTGGGTGGTACTGTCACCACCTGATTCGGTGGGGTGAGATGCGCCACCCCTTTAAACGACGTGACAGTGGGTTAGTCTGCATAGCTCTCATACTCGTGTTGTAGTTTAGCATCAAATCAGATAAAATGGCTAGCTTAAAAAGGAAAGCGTTAACGTTAGACTGCAAAGTAGAAATAATTAAAGCAGTTGAAAGTGGAAGAAAAAAGGCAGATGTATGCAGAGACTTTGGTTTAGCAAATTCTACAGTGTGCACAATAATAAAAAACAGAGAGAAAATTTTGAAAAGTTTTCAAGATGGCAAGGGACAAGTGAAAAAAATTAAGTTATGTGAAAAAGCCAATATTGATGACGCTCTAATTAAGTGGTTTAACCAATGCAGAAGTTCCAACTTACCACTAAATGGACCGATACTAATGGAAAAAGCAGAAGAATTTGGACGACTACTAGGCGATACTAACTTTAAATGTTCTAATGGATGGCTAGACCGTTTTAAACAAAGACATAACATAAGTTTTGGGAAAGTGTGTGGAGAAGCAAAAAGTGTAAATTTACTGGACGTTGAAAACTGGTTAAGAGATGTGTGGCCTAAACTAAGGGGAGAATATGCAGATGAAGACATTTATAATGCAGATGAAACTGGGATATTTTACAAACTTTTACCGGATAAAACATTTAAATTTAAAAACGAAAAGTGTGTTGGTGGAAAACTTGCGAAAGATAGGATAACAGCTTTTGTTTGTGCTAATATGACTGGTACAGACAAAAGAAAACTTCTTGTAATAGGAAAATCAAAGAATCCAAGATGTTTTAAAGACATAAAAACACTACCAGTAAATTACAAAGCGAACAAAAAGTCATGGATGACGTCTGAGATTTTTTAAGAAGAAATTCGAAAATGGGATAAAGAACTTATTGGTAAACGGAAAAAAGTTTTACTCCTTGTCGATAATTGCCCAGCACATCCAATTTTAGAAAATTTAAATAACATCAAACTTGTATTCTTCCTCCGAATTGTACTAGCATACTTCAACCAATGGATCAAGGAATTATAAGAAGCCTTAAATCTCACTTCAGAAAAATTCTTTTACAAAAAATTATAACAAATATGGAAGATAAAAATAAAATGGCAATTTCTTTATTAGATGCAGTTGATTTTTTGGAAAAATCTTGGTGTAAGGTTAGTTTGCTAATAATAGCAAACTGTTTTCTCCATGCAAAATTGTGTAATAGTCAAACAGCTATTACATTTACAAAAGATGACAATGAGGACGATGACATTCCTCTATCGGAATTAATTAAAACACTTCAGAGTTCAGAAAACGGCAAATTTTTGTTATCTGCTGCTACTGAATATGAGTGTGTAGATGAAAATTTAATAACATCTCAATTTTATACAGATGCAGATATTATTGAGCAAATTAAATGTTTAGACGAAAAAAATGTGGATGATGATGATGATAATAATGATGATAATGAAGAAGATGAAATATCAAACAGAGAAACTACAGTGCCGTCAACTAAGGAAGCGAGTAATGCGATAAAATTATTGAAAATGTTTTACAGGTCTCGTAAAACTTCATCGGAAATAATGAACAAAATCTATGACTTAGAAAATGACATTGATAAACAATTTTTAGGTGAAAAATGCCTACAATCTAAAATAACTGACTTTTTTTAAGTGAATATTTTTATTGTTTCTTTTTAATTGATATACATTAATTTAACCTAAAAGATATTGACTTCATGTCCATTGTTAGATAAGCAAGAAACGAGAAAATTATCATCCAGGTGTTATTAACGCCTGGATGATAATTTTCTCGTTTCTTGCTTAATTTAACTTTTTGTTGCCTTTTGATTGGACATTATTCTCAAAACCGAAAGTGCCGCCATTATCGAAACTTGATAAATAAAAATTTCTTATAAAAAATAATTTTTGAAATTTTTAATTACATCGTTGTAAATTTAGACATAATAATGTAAATAAAGTTGATTTAAACATTTAGCTTGCACTTTTATACATACAATATAAAATTAGATGAATTTTATAATAGATTCTTAAACAGACTTGATACTTTTATGGGTCTGAAATTACAACCCCGCAGATAACGACACTTGGTTATAACGTCAAAAAATTGCCGGTCCAATGGATGACGTTATAAGCAGGTTAAACTGTATTTGAATTTAAACAATATTTCTTACATTGGAAACACAGAAAACAGTCCTCAGTGTCAGAAACTGCTTTCAATGAGGCAGAGCTTTCAATTTGAACAATATTTTATATATTGGATAGTGCACAAACAGAAATTGAAATGAGTAGGGAGGTGCAAAAACAAAGATTTTGACAACATGAGAATGGTAGAAACTGCCTAAAATTGGTTTTCCTTTATTGTATTCAAAAGTGCAAATTTCCGAGAAGTGATTAATAATTGAGGCAAAAGTATCAGGATTGACTTTGAGAAAGTGTTAGTTGATACTCTGAAAGTTGACATCCTGGCTTCTTATGAAATCATCTGCTTTTTTTCTTTGTTTTTGTTGATTCTCACATCTGTATTTGATCCATCCCTAATATTTAAAATATAACAAGAAACATTCGTTATACAAACAGCAATTGAACGTCAGTGGATAAAAGAAAATTATAAAAATTAAGGCTGTTAAAGAATTTTAAACAAAAAACTCAATTTTAAAATATTCGAAAATAATGAATAATAGCATTATAAAAAACTATTTAAATTTAAAATATTCATCAAATGCCAAAACTTCAATTTGAGAATATAACTTTAATGGAAAAGAAATGTTTTTGATTGCCTTAAGCATTCATCATGACGTTACAGAAATTTTGTAAATGAAATAATAGTTGCTTAAGGCAATCAAAAACATTTGTTTTCCATTGAATTTAGATTTTCAAACTGGAGTTTTGATGTTCAGGATGTTTAATATTATAATTCAGTTTCTAATCTGTTTTATTCATATTTATAAATTTTATTGAGAAGTAAAAAATAGAAAAAACTGTAAAGAAAGAATGCTGAAACAAACAATTGAAAGTACTAATAGATATTGGTGACAAATAAGGAAATAATAATACAGAACAAAGAAAGTTTACTCCTAAAAAGAATTTAATTGAATTGATACTATGGTAACTGAAACAATATGACAGGATGATAGACAATAAAATCAGGTTTCTTGGAATGTATTGAGACTTCTTATCTGCTGTTAACTTAATTTATAAATAGATATAAGATTTAGATTTATACATAGATAACCTGCAGATTATTCCATGCAAAATTTCAACATTTCTTATAACTGATCTGGCATTTAAGAATTTTAAGTTATATTGCTGCTAAAATGGCTTTTATTTCTAGAATAATTTGAAAGAAGTATGAAAAAATATAATAGCATTTGTATCTATTCTATATATATTGTAATTTATTAAATAATTAAAATAGAAATATTTTTATAGCATATGTCTAGTGAAGAAGAAGCCAAAAGTGCAATTGAAGCTCTAAATAATACAGAATTTATGGGATCAAAAATTACAGTTGAGGTAATGCCTAATGATTATTTAATAATTATTTTGTATAACAAATAACTCTTTTCTTTAAATTATGTAGTAGATAAATACCTGATTAACATATTAAAGTCAATAGAACTAAAATGAAGTTTAAAAAATTAATTTAATCATAAGAGATAAGTATTTACAAAATGCATTAAAATGATAACATTGACAATCAAATATTGTTGACTATAATTAACAATTAATGTGATTTTATATCAATTTTCTTAATAATAATTATTAGTGTTGCAACGAATAGTATATTCAGCTTGATTAATTAACGTACGTATGAAAATTGGCGCACAAAGCGCATTATGGCAAGGACCCTGCTCTCTATTGGCCTGCTGTCACTATGCTTTGTCAATCATGTTAATTCTCAACAGTTGTAGTGGACAGACAAGAGCGTCATGGCAGTACTGTATGTGATAAATGATATCAAATGTGGATAACAGTGAAATGACCTACACGTTTAAGTAACGGAAAAAGAAGAGAGAAGGACCGCGAAGTGAAAAGAAATATGAAATTGAATTGATAACATAATCGAACAAGTCGAGGCAGTTTATTGGCGCAAAATTTGCGGTTGTCAATGTCAAACAATTGTTGTCATAGACTTCAGAAAGCTAAATGCTTGTAATGAAAGAAACTTAGAAATCTTTCTGAATAAAATGATTAATTTTAAATTTTAAAATCTAAAAAATCTTGTGTGGAACATTATATTTTGAATTTTTGGAATTTGGAATGAATTCGAATGTTTGTTCAAATTCATTTATTTTTTATACAGTGAATACTCCTTAGGTGATCACCTGCATTTGACGGTCACCTGTCAAAACAAGCAAAAATTTGTGGCACGGAATACTTTATTCATAGAGTCTTCATACTTGTATTAAACGACCACCTGTGGGAAAACTCAGTTTATTTTACCATAGACCTACAGTATTTTCCTTAGGGGTATAAAATATTGTACACAATACAATTAATCGGCTGATCTCATTATTTGATAAAATTTATTTTATTTATTAATTTTTTAAAGCTCATATACAGTACTTGTGCGATAAATAGTTTGTATCAATTGTCTTATTTCCATGATATTTTTAGAAAAATAATATCCAAATAATTTTCACATGCAAAATATTCAAAAAAGAATAAATGCATTAATGCAAAAATAAGTTTTACAGGCAACCTTCCTTTCATTACATTCCGCGATTGTCCAATGACAATTGCGGAGTGTAATGAAATCGTATTATGAGAAAAAATAATAAAATCATTTTATTATTAATTAATTAATAATTTTTCTTATTGTACTTAAGATATTAAATATTTTAAAAAATATAGTATTTTTAAAGTTAAAATAAGATTAAACTAATGAAAACCAAAACCAAAGTGATGGAGATATTGATGCACTTGTATATTGATGACAGAATACACGTAACAGGAGTGAATGGAAAGAACTGAGTTGAATTAATTAAGTCGGAAAAAAGAAAGTGTGCATTATAATCGAGAAAATGCGAGTACTGTATTAATCTTTAAAATATTGATATTAAATCTGTCTTATAAAATTACAACAAACTCCTGTAAATCAATTCAATAAGAATAAAATACAATACCAATATAGTTGTATTGCTGAAAAAATTTGCTTATTTTTACTCACTTTGAGTTTTGCTTAGTAGAAATGGCTAAAAAGTGCGCAGAATACATACGGAAATATGGTATTACCGCACCACTTGTATCGGACAACCACCTGTCTAAAAGACCACTTTTTGAAGGAACCTGTCTATGGTGACCACTTTCAAAAAGTGGTCGCCATAGACAGGTTTTACTGTATATTGTTTTTGAGTGGAAAAAGAGTTTTTGAATCCAAAAAGTGGAAATGATTAAAATATTTATTAATTGCCAAAATGTATACTAAATATGCCACTATTTACTTTCCTTCTTTATTACTTACACTTTTTAATGACTAAAACTAACTCTATCCTTCTCTTCCCTTGGGGGTGGAATTTCCAAAAACCTCCTTATGCATTCTTATGACACGCACTGAAATGCAGTCAAAAACTCAAAAAATCACATCTAAAATAGTACAATAGAAGTCAAGTCCTTTAAGGTAATCCTTAATCCACTACCTCTCCTGCACGGTGTGATTTCCAAAAATTTCTTATTAGGATGCAATTTCATGGCATACCCTACTAAAATGCAGTTAAAAACAAGAAATCACATCTAAAATAGTACAGCAGAAGCTGGGTACTTCAGGATGATTTATTCCTCTCCCTCTCCCCTGTGGGGGGAATTTCGAAAAATCCCTTTTTAGTGTACATTCTCATAACATACCCTAACTGTGTACCAAATTTTGACTTTCAACTCCTAACCATTTTGGGCTCTGTGCTTATTATTATCGTTATTATTATTATTATTATCAACCCATCTCAATTATAATATAAGATTAACAGAATAAAATGGTTTGAATAATGTATTCCTATCTCAAACAATTGCACTTAATGGCTCCAGCTTAACATTTAATTTTTATCAGTATAGGATCCATGCTTCAAAGCTTTGATAAGATGCTTTGAACACTATACCAACAGATCTTACAGAAAGCTGTTAATAATACAGTATTTAAAGAGATTAAAAGATACAATTTTTAAAATCTTAATTATTTGATTTTTAAATCAAATGTTTTCAAACAGTTTGTTATAGTCATCATTTAATAAAATATGTATTATTATGCTTATTCTTTTCGGTGATTATGATTGCAACAATTTTTTGGAAATATTTGGAAACAAATGGTGACTCACTTTAAAATGAAGTTGCTTTTTAATCTCTAAGGCAGTGTTTTTCAACCTTCTTGAATACGCGACCCCTTTACAAGTTAAAAAATTCTGGCGACCCCCCTAGGGCCATATTAAAACTATATCAGTGATTTTAAAAACTATGTGTTTAATTTTCTTTCTGTTGAGACAAATTATTGTTGATTAAAGTGAAAATTTCAGAAGAATCGACAATAACTTAACACACACAAAGTATGAAACTTCCTTTAATTATAACATTCGGCACAGGGAGCTGTTGACATTTTTTTTTTTTTCTTTAGGATCAGAATTTTCAGCTTCTACTTTTCTACTTTTTATTTCTCTTTTGCAAATCAGCTCAACGCTTTTTCCGCTATCATTTTCTGGGATGGGCCGTAATTCTTTCTGAAATTGTAGTTTTTTAATGTAGTGTAAGACCTACAAACACTTGTCTTTTTCTTCTACCCGCGACCCCTGTGTAAGGCTTTGCAACCCCCTGGGGGGTCGCGAAGGTTGAACCCACAGGTTGAAAAACACTGCTCTAAGGCAATTACTTTTCTATTGTTTCAAAATATGGACCCAAAGATGTGCCAACAGTATTTTATTACAGTTTGTCAGTTTAGTTAACAATTATGTATAATCTTCTTGTGATAATAATATGAATTATTATTTCTTAATTATATCTAAACAAAAATAGTGAATGATTTATTATTTAGTTTTGCTTGATAACAACTCAGTTAAAACTTTTAGGGTATGAACACATCTGTGCATTTTAAAACGCGATTGTCCAATGACAATTGCGGAGTGTAATGAAATCGTATTATGAGAAAAAATAATAAAATCGTTTTATTAATTAATAATTTTTCTTATTGTACTTAAGAAAATATTAAATATTAAAAAAATATAGTATTTTTAAAGTTAAAATAAGATTAAACTAATGAAAACCAAAACCAAAGTGATGGAGAGATAGGACGCGCTTGTATATCGATGACGTAATACTACATGTATTACATCATCAATATACACGTAACAGGAGTGAATGGAAAGAACTGAGTTGAATTAATTAAGTCGGAAAAAAGAAAGTGTGCATTATAATCGAGAAAATGCGAGTACTGTATTNTTGATAACAACTCAGTTAAAACTTTTAGGGTATGAACACATCTGTGCATTTTAAAATTATTATAAAGAAATAAATTTTGTAGTGATTTTGTTAATCTTTTAGTATGATTATTTTACATCAATAATATAAATTATATTAAAACTAAACTTCCATAATTTATCATGTAGATGGATCAATTTTTATTCAATTGATTATACTTCATTAAATATTTACTTATTATAATGAATTAACTTGAGTTGTTGATAAAATTTTTTTCTATAAATTTTAGGTTTCTCATAGCAAGGTTCGGCCTAAACCAGGAATGGGAGGTAAAGGACAGTGCTATCGCTGTGGTCGTCAAGGTCATTGGTTAGTATCAATATATTCAGATAATACATTAATTTTAAATATCAACCACAGTTTAAATACTCGATGTATTTAACATTAAAAATTCTAAACTACACTAAATAATTAATCCAGTAAAGAATAAAAATTTAAAGAAACTGACATTTTCAACTTTTTCAAAAGCCATCATGGGTTCTAAAGATTGTACAAATTTGAATAGAAAACAAAATTCAAATGTAATTGGATGGGTATACTGTATGTTGTGACATACTGTATACCCATCCAATTACAATGTTAACGAAAAAATAATTAATTAAAGTGCAAGTGTTAATAAATAATTAATTAATTATTTCCTTTATTAACTTCATTTTGTTTTTAATATCATCTCTTTGTATTTAATAATGAATCTCGTGGATCCATAAGATTTTATTTAGATCTGTTATTTGCAGTTATTTTTTCAGTTGTCTTTAAAGTTTTTTCAAATTAGCTAATTTTTCTACTTTCTAGAAGAAATATTCCAATGCTATTCTTTTATTATTGTATAAATTTATTATTTTATTTTGAACATGACTGAATCAATGATTTTAATAAAATAATTGTTTAGGTGGATTTGTTTCTTCTCTTTAAAGGTAGACAGCACTGCATATATAGTTGACTTGCCTTAAAATGAACAGTGATAAAGTGAATTTTGCCGTTGTCCTAGGAAAATGTCATTGTTATAAAGTTAATTTTTATGGAATAAAGTAAACAAAAGTTTTATCAGAATTCGTTAAAATAAACTGTAAATTAACCTTCGCAACCCCTAAGAAATACAGTGGTGTCTCGTATAACGCACTTAATCCGTTCCAGGTGCACGTCCGTTAAGTGAAAAGTCTGTTATACGAAACGCATTTTCCCATAGAAATACATGTGAAAACATATAATTCGTTCCGCGGCATAAAATAATTGTACTGTACTATAAAAAAAAAATGAAACTGGAGCAGTCACCAATTATGCCAGGTAGTCACATGTCATGAGGAGGAGTGGAGGAACACTTTCTTTACACATTCATACAGATACAGACTTTTACACATGCAGAAGGTCTCTTTTTATTGTTTTTAATCGGAGTCAGATACAGGAGAGGTTACCAGAGCTTGCGGGGTCATTCCTCTTGTTCCATCCTTTGTTTTTTGGCAGCTGGCTTCTTGAAAAACATGTCCAATGTGGTCTGTTTCTCTCTCTTCTTCAACACCTGTCGGAAATGATGGGCAAGGGTATCATTGTAGAGATCATTGATCCTGTTGGCCTCAGCGCTCTGTTTGGATAATGAGTGTTGGTAAACTCCTGAATCTCTCCCCATTTGACAAGGAAGTTTTTGTCAACCTTCACTCCTTCTGATGATGTCTTGCATTGTTTCAATTGAAATCACTTTTCTGTTTTTTTAGAAGCTATGATTTGCACAACACTTGAATAAATGTAAATACCTTGCACTGAGGTGATGTATGTAATAAACAAAGGTGCAAGCCGAATCTCAACGGGAGATCTGTAGTTCAGATATACTAATAATATATTTTAATAATACTAATATATTATAAAAATAGCAGATTGTCATTGGCAACGGCAAAAGAGTGGAAACATCATTCGCGCTTGTTCGCAGTAAAACCGTTGTTTGCCTCACGTAACTGCCGAACGGAAAGTCCGTTGTTCAAAGCCAGTCCGTTGCTCGAGTCACGTAACGGCCAAACAAAAAGTCTGTTGTTTGCAGCGTTTGTTATACGAGGCACCACTGTAACCCTATTTCCAATAATCATTTTATTATTTACAGTGAAAAGTGTAAAAAGCAAAGTGGCTGTAATAAATGTTCTGTTTTGAGTAGAATAAACTATCTTCTCCTAGTAAGCAAAGACTGGTTTGATCTTTGCTTATAGAGCAGTTCAAATATTTGATTTTAATGGACCATTCTAATGTACTCAGAAAATAGGGGTTAAAGTTTAATGATGCCCCCCCCTTTAAATGGATGTGGTCCTGTGCAAACACATACTGTAGGGAGTAACAGGTTTGGTTACTTTGATCAAATTTGGCTTCTTTCTACTCTTTTGGCACCAAAAAAATATTTATTACTTTTTAAACAATTTTCAACTGAAAAAAAGTTATGGATTTCTTTTAGCTTTGTTTTGTTTAACCATTCTGATATATGGCTCCACACACACAAACTGCAAATACAGTATTTTCCTCATTTTGTTTAATTTGAAAATCATTTTGATCACTTTGTTTTTGTAAATAAATTTTATTTTATTTAACCTTATACAGTAAATTAATTCAAAATAATATAATTTAGAGATTTCAGTTGCCTATTAATCCATAACTCCCTGAATTATACAATCTTGACAGTGACCTTGAAATTTGTTATGAGTTTTTGATAATGAACTACTACTACTACTACTACTACTCCCCTGGAGATTTGTTAATGCAAGTTGACTGTATATAATGAATTGTATTTGAAATTTTAGATAGATAGAATACTGTAATTGTTTAATTATTTGTTGATCTATACAAAATTAGCAATAATCTGTTTTATGGTAGAATTAAATAAAATTGAAATTTAATAAACAAAGTATATGGAATAAGAAGCTTAATTTCAGAAATTCTTTTTGTAATAGGTCTAAGGAGTGTCCAAGAAATCCGTAAGTATATATTTTGTTGCACACTTCACTTTGAAAGAAACTTTAATCTGATTGCATGATTTTTCTAATTTGAATGAATACCTATTTTGTTTTTAAATATTTAATATTATTTGTATTTTTGTTTCAAATTCTAATTTTATTTTACTGTTTTTAATATTTGAGATTTAATAATCTTATATTTAAGTTTTATTTTGTTCATTTTCTGAACAAAATTCATAATGTAAATTATGAATTATGAATTTTATTCAGAATATTATAATATATATTAATACTAGAAATGCTCGAATGGGAAATATGCCACCACCTATGACACCACCTTTTCCATATTCTGATCGACCAATGCCAAGATATGGACTTGATAGAGGATATGCTCCAGCTGACAGAGGGTTTGCTCCCGAAAGAGGATTTGGTGCAGATAGAAATTATGCTGGAGAAAGAATGAGACCTTATCCAGACCCATATGACCGTCGACCTCCTCCACCTCTCTCTCCAGGTTTAAGAGATGATTATTATTGTTATAGAAGAACTTATGATGAATACGGGTAAGAATAATTATAAGAAGTTTTTGAAAGAATGATCAGTTAATAGACATTGCTAGTATATTTTTGTAATATAAATATATTTTAGTGTAGACATAATTCCTTAAATTCGTCTAATATCAGTTCTTATTTTAGTTTTAATAGTTATGTATTAAAACAATGAATGAGAACTATTAATCATTTATCTAAAGTAATTTTGAATTTAATTAAATGAAATATGATAAAAGAACAACTCTAAAACCTAAATTAACAAGAAAGTGCTTTATTGAAATAATCTTTTAATGCTAACCTTTCATTAAAATTAAGAACTCTTAAGTCTTATTTACTCATAATCAGGAATTTGAATGCTTTTAAATAAATGATGATAAACATTTTCTATGTTCTACAGTGAAGGAAACACAGGTAAACTTGATAATTTCATATGTGCACTTCTGATGATGATAAAAAAAAGCACTTGGATTTTAAGTGTTGAGATTTATCTCAATGAAACATATTTTTTCTTTTTAGATGTAGTTTTTGTTTGAACTATAAATTTAATAGTTTAAATATTTTAGTAACGTTTTGCAGTATTTAGAAAAAAAAAAAATTGCAGTATTTAGAAATAAAAATAAGTTACATAAATACTTGATTGTGGTTGGCTAATTTCACAAAATCATTATTTTTAGAAGACTAGAAGTCATTCATATAGTTAGTAAATTATTCAGGAAATTCTTGTTAGTTCAAAATTCAAGGATGAAATAATTTTGACTTTGAAGTATTAAGTTTTGAATTATCCAAGATTTACAATATGCCAAATGTGATGTAACTGATGTAATTTATTAAGCAAATGGAATATGGCTACATATACAGAGTACTATTTTCATTAATTAATAATAATATAAATGAGCAGTTATTTACTGTGACATCCTCACTATGCTGGGCTGCTATTTTTAATTTATTTAATTTAAAATATATGCTCTCCACCTCAAATTAGTAGTGGATTGCCCCTGTACATTATACTTTTCCTTTAACAATAGAGTCGTGCCGGTCATCTTTCTAACAACATTCAGGGGAAAATATTTGAATTGAAATAATGTGACTGAAATAATGATGTTATTTTGTGTTATTTGTTGTATATACAATCAGTTTGAGTTGTAATACTAGAAGACAATGTTGTAACAAATTCACAATCTATCTAGCCACCCATTACTAGTATAGAAATTTTAAATACTCAGTTCAGATGCAAATTAGATCATTTCATTGCTAACATTGGCTTACTTATTGGAAATCATCTTCTGCAGGAAACTATTGAAACTGACCTGTTAAGTTCAGTTAAGTTCATTTAGTTTTTTTCATTGGCATGTTTTTCTTACATTCTTTGAGATAACTAACTTTAATCTTTAATGGCACTGATAGCTTGAATTTGTTTTATGTTACAATTAAAGTTTTTAGCCAACGTTTGTGATCTACCTGTGTTCTGTTTTGTTTTTCTTGATTATTGAGATTGTCCTTTAAGGTCAAAATGGAGCATTTTCTTTTTTGTTCCAGAATTTGCCATTGCTGTCACTATTATTACAGACAACTTGCAAATGTTGTAAGAGGAAGTTCTTAAATTTCTTTCTTAAAATAAAATTAGCAAAGTCATACATTGTTGATAACCTAGATTCACACTTAATAGAATGATAGTTATGATTAACAGTAATCTAATAAGTCCTTATCAATTTAATCAGTTGTTCTGTGTAATATATTGTAATGATACTTTTATGTAATTAATATATTTTATTTAAAATTCTAATTTATTTCAGTAAATATTGAATTGTATTGAATTTTTATGAAATACTACTTTCTTGTTTGGATTTTATTTTTATTTGAGGTTTTAAATTTAATTACAGATTTGACAGATATAATTATGCAGATGATCGGTAAGTGTTTATATTTTGTTCAATTTTTAAAATATTTAGTTAATATGGATTTAAAAATAATTATGAATGATAAAAAGTTTTGTCAAATTGAATGTTTTCTAATATTATGTGTATTGCATTGAAAATTTGGAATAATTTTTAATCATTGATTTGTTTTCAATATTCATAATATTTTAAAAATATTCATTTATATTATATGATTACCTGATTAATTTTATCATGTTCATTTATTCTTATAACAAGTTTTATTTTTATAAGATAAAAGCTGGAATTCCTTGTTCAATACATTAGTTTTACAAAAATTTATAATATATTCAACTTAAACTTTCGTATTAAGGAAGTATTTTTTATTTTTTTTTTACACATTTTTTGTATAGTTTGAAATATTTGTTTTAATGGTGTTTAGGACAAATTGTATCTGATCAATTAGCTTGTATCATCTCTGACAACATTATTATTTTAATTTTAATAATGGAATAATAATATGTATTTAAATAGTTGCTTATTATTTTTTTCATTTGAATGATGATAACTGAAATATAATATTAGAAAAGTTGATATTTGTCAATTTATGATCATTATCAGATGTAAACATGAATAATTATTTATTAGAAAATTTATATGTTTTATATATATATATATATAAAATTCTGATTTGATTTAGTTTTTGTTACATTTATTTTTTTGAATCTGTAAACTTAAAATTTTAATAAATTTGCATGCATTAATACATTTTGAAATATTTTAAATAATAAACAAACATCAGATTATTTTAAGCATCTAAGAATAGAAAATTTTATCTTTAAATTATTTGGAGTTTATGTTTAAAAACTATGCAGTAATATAGTAACTTTAAAAAACTTTTGATTTATTTTCAAAATAAGTAAAATTTATATATGTAATGTACACGAATAAATTTAATCAGGTAAACACATGCTGTGAAAATATTTGTACAGTACAGCCACTTACAATAAATTTATTATTAAATATTATTAGAATTAGTTTTTCTGATGATCGACATTATTTAATTTCAAATAGTTTTATTTTGCATATTAAACTACAAGTGTATGATTGTATTTTAATTTAGGGAATGGAAAATAATGCATTACGTGTGACATTAAAAAGTTAAATTTTTTTATTTACTAGAGAAAAATAGAAATTTTTATCAATTATAAAAAAATTGTAGTATTAACTTACAATAAGTCATAATGTTCTCAAGTATACTGTTGTCAGACTGAACTGAAAATCCATTATATTGCAAAAAAAAAAATTGCTTAATGTTCCAATAACTTTATCAGATTTAAAAATATGCATTTTGTTGTTTGGAAGTAGCTTATTAATTTTTCATAATTTAGTTCAATCTTGATTACATTTAATGAATAAAACAGTTACCCAAAATATTTACACTATCCTGATAAGTTTTGTTTTTAAAGAAATTAAATATGTCTTGTTTCAAAAGTGTAGAAATTTCGTATAAAATACATTTTACTACATTTATATTCAATAAATGATCATTGTAATAATCGTGTAAAAAATTTGAGGCATATTAAATGTAATCATTTTTATGAAAACAATGGTCAATTTTACCAACATTAAGGAAAATACTTTATTCAAAAAGCTCCCTTTTGCTTATTCAAGCCACTAATAATGATTAGATATATGTCAGAGACCTGCAAATTCAGATAAATAAATAGAGAACACAAGAATTTATATTTCTTTGAAGATACTCTTTGAAAATCTGTTTTTCAGTCTAGCTTTATGTGACATTTGATTAAATTTAATAACTATTATATGTGTAATTCTCCTTCTTTTTTTTGTCTGGTTCTTGCTGATGTTGACTAAGTTCAACTCTTAAATTAAAGTGCATTTAGTTGAATAATTGTAGTTGAATCAGTTATTTGAAAAGTAATTTGAATTAATTATATATAATTTCCAGAATATGAAATGCAATTTTTTCATGTTAACTATGGTTTTTAGTTCTGAATAAAAATGAAGTATTTGCTATGATCAGTCTATGCTACATATATTGTTGTTATTATTATTCCTAAAATCATATTTAATTTTATCTGAGTTGATTGCGTTAGTTACCTTGTAGTTGGCTTATTTGAAAAGGTAATAAATTATACCATTTATTCTTCTGCAAAACTTTTAACATAAGCTTATTTTTAATGAAAGAACATTACATGAGATTATTGAGAGAACAGAAAGAACATTACATGAGTTATCTCATAGTTAATTATACATTAACTATGAGATAACTCATGTAATGTTCTTTCATTAAAGATAAGCCTATGTTAAAAGTTTGGCAGAAGAATAAATGTTATAGTTAAGTTATTGTATTTCGTAACACGCTTAACTGAGAATAGCATTAAGGAGCATTTTACTAAATGGCAGTGTGGCAGTCAATATGTTAATATGTTCCGACTGGAACACTTAAATATAAAATGAATAAAGCCTTGATATTTATAAGAACATAAATGAAAAATTTTAGTGCAAAATCATGCGATAATATCCTTGGAAAGTAAAGTGATGTATGATGTAATTTTTAAAACTAATTTTTAAATTTCTTAAATTCTATATTATGTGGCAGTCAATATGTTAATATGTTCCGACTGGAACACTTAAATATAAAATGAATAAAGCCTTGATTGTTATAAGAACATAAATGAAAATAATTCAGTATAAATTTAATGAAAAGAAGTGTAGTGACACATTATAGCTTGAGGGACCTAGGCAAATTTTATTAGGGGAAAATTTGAAATGTTAACTTCAGGCATTTTTTTGGGGGAAAAATATTTTCTTATAATAGATTGATTTTGGGGCTCCAAGCTATTCGCCTTTTTTTCCATAGGATAACTTATCTGTGGAGAAGTATGTTATACTATGAGATNTATATTATGTATTCTTGAAATGTACATTTGAAGCATTAAAAAAGAGTTTAAATTAAATACTTACTACCAGCAAAACCTCTAAGCAATTTGAACTGATGTGATCATTGAGCAATATAGTTGAACATCTATTATTGGTACTTGATCCGTTATATGATCTGATAATAATAACTTTGGATTGTTTTTTCACATTGAGAATGTAAGATATCAGTGATTCTAATAAGCTTACATTAAAAATTTGTACCTTAGAATTAAAGAAATACTCTCTTAAAAATTGTGAGATTTGAAATTTTAATTGATTAATTTTTACTGTGGGATGTTTTAAAATGTATTTTGTGACTTTGTCATTTATACATAATATCCTTGTTATGCAAATTAAAATTAATTTGTTTCATGCCAATTTTCAAACATTTTTTATTGTTAATTTTTCTAATGAGTTCTGTTTCTTTATATACATAAAATAACTTGAGCAGCTACAAGTAAAAAGTTTGTGGTGTTTTAAAATATTGCAATTTTTTGCAGATAATTCAAGATGGCACCCATTCTTAAAAAAATTATTAGAACAGAAATAAAACTTTTATATATACCCTCCCCTGCAAAGTGGTTACTAAAAACATGACCTTTATTTATATTCAGTTTAGAAACTATTGGAAGATATGAAATTAAGTATTTATTTTGTAGGTCACTTTCAGTGTCTTGATTATCATTTTTTTTAAGATTTAATTTTGATTAAATTAAGATAATCTAAAGCTGCTTTCAAATAGNAATTCAATTGTCATTTTATCTCAAATTAATCAATAGACGTTAAATAGAATCTTTACTGTAATGAATAAGAGTTAAAATCGTCCTTTATTTTTTCAACTGACATAGTCTAATAGAATGGTTGTAATTGCTTTTATATTGAAAATAGTATTTTTTATTTAGCATTCATTATTAGAAATTAAAATTTTTATTTGATTTGTATATAATTAGTTATTTAAATATTGATAAAACATATAGAAATTACTATTAATTATTACATTATATGTTTGATTTGCAATATAATGGTAAATTTCTTTGAATAGAAATTTTTGTTTTTACCTTCATATTTGAAATTATTTTTGGTTATTTAACAATATTTAATAATCTAGTCCAGTGTTTTTCAATTTCTAGTCCTGGACTGGTGCTGGTCCATGAAAATATATCACTGGTTTGTAGTAAAATATTTGACTGTATTGAAGCCGGTGCAGTTGATTGCAGGATGATATTTAAATATTAATCTAGACTTACTGCATGTACTTCGTTGCATACAATAACTCTAGATAAGCATATATAAGCTTAATAAATAAAAATAATTCATAGTCACAAGTAATTACTTAGTCCACATAAAATTATCCATGATTTTACCAGTCTACAATGATAAAAAGGTTGAAAAACACTGATGTATGCATTAAGAAATTAATCTTTTTAAATGTAAAATCCTGTAACAGTGATACAATTATAATAGCTTTATTGCTTGATTAATTTAAAAATATGGATTTATTAGAAGTTTTAAAATTACATCTTTGAATTTGGATTTATAACATAAGAATGATTGGATTTACAAATTATTTTTAAGTGGTAATTAATTTTAATACTCATTATCATGGAAATTATTTTAAATGGCAAAATGTTTTTTCCTTTAATTTATTGTAAGTGGAGACACTGTATTATATTACACAACATTTTTTACAGTAAAAATGTTGTGTAATAAAAATAAATAAAAAATAAAAATTTTGAATAAGTCTGTTTTATTTGCAACAGAACCTCAATTAAGCAAATTTGTTCATAAAACTAAATAAAGAAATTAGTCTAAAATCAAAATGATTTAAATATGTAAAAAGAACTTTTATTATTTTCTTAAATAAAAATATATATATATTTTTATAGGTTTTTGTATTTCAATGTGCTTTATGTATGTTTTCAAAAGTGTTGTAAATTTTTAACTGTATTAAGAGTTAAAATATCATAACAACAATGGAATAATAAATATGGTAAGGTATTTAAGAAAAATAACTATATATACAGAGGGAGCCAAAAAATTAGTTTCCATAAGATTTGTTATGGTTGCCAAAATTTGTATACATAATAGTA